CTTTTAACTTAATTAGATGCCTTTGGAAGTCTGATAATCCTAAATCCCCAAGTAACTCACAGCTGGAAGAATATGCAAAACTTCAGGAAAGGTACTGAGGATGCTCGTAGCTACGCTGATACTTGAAACAAGTCCAAGCACTAAATGTCTAATTGTCACAGAAAACCATATTTTAGAGACACTTACCTGCATGCCCATATAAACATAAATTTCCTAAAAAGAATTCTCCCACTTAATTCTGTGCCACAAGTCTGTATATTTTACCTGGACAGAATGGATGAAATTGATTCAAGAAATAATATCTGAGTCAAAGAGTGAAAGTAAGTGTTCCCTGAAACTGTGAGTGACCTTTTCAGCACAGATCTCCAGCCACAGGCTAGAGATGCTTCCCAGTCTGACCACCAATTACTATTCTTTGAATCTGTTTTTTCAGCCAGTTGGGCACCTAATTGATGTTCAATTAGTCTGTTGATTTCATTTTTTTGTTTGCAATATTATCACATAGGACCATATCAGTAACACAAGATAAAGTATCTAATTTATCCCTTATTATTCCTGAAAAAAAAAAATGAAGAAAATTAGATTGGATTGACACAATTTGTTCTAGATAAATAGGTGTTATAACTGCTTTTATCACCTTGTAACCATCTAAATCCTTATAATTCAATCACATAATAATTTCTTCTGGCATCTTTCCAGGTGTCAGAATTAAGAGAATAATTCCTGTTATCCTATAGGTACAGGAACATCTATAATTCCCCAGAAGCTTCCTTTTTATATCTTATTATACTTTTCCTTTGTATCAAGATTAGCATTATTATTTGCCCTTTTTGAGCTCTGCAGGATCTTTTGCACAGTTTAAAATCTTGATCTTAAATGCCAGCACGGCTTTTATAATTAAACCCAGAGATTATAACATTATTATCATCTGGGTACTGATTTCTGCCTTGCTGTGGCTGTCAGCCAAATGTCATAATGCATACAATTAACAGATTTGCTTCTCAGCTTACTGATAACAAAGGAAGCACAAATAATTCATAGGCAAAGGCACCGGTCCTTTGATGTGACTGAACTCTGATCCTTTCAGCACCTGAAGGGAGGCAGGCTGAAGACAGGGCAGCCTCATTAAGGCAAAGAAAAACAAAAAACGAAAAAAAAGCAGAGGAGGAAGAGGAGGATGCAGGAGGTGCCCCCCACGCTGGGTGCTGTGACCTCTGCCGGGCCGGGTCCTGCAGCTCCCACCCTCCCACCACGGCACGGAAAGAGGAGATTCCTTGGGAAAATACAAGAAAAACCCAGACAAAAATACAGACAAAATAATGTCTCTAATTATTAGGTAGCGTTTTTTTTCCCAGAGGTTGAGGGAAATTCCTGATGAGGTACTTCCATCTGGTTTACAGTGCCTTTGTGCTGGGGCAGTTCAAAGAGGCTGCAATGTAACCGAGAATCGAGGACAGCATTTATTTATAGTTTGATAGCCTCATAAAAGCTGTAGAGCTGAGCTCACAGCAGTGTGCTTATTTATGTTTTAAACTGCTCATGCAGCACCCTACTGCCTTGCAAAGCGTATGCTGGAGCTCCTGCATAAAATTATATATGGCTCTTCCATGGCACAAAGGCAAAAAAGGAAAAGTGAAATTAGACTAACAAAACAGTTGATAAAAAAATTTTAAAGTAGCAGCCAGAACTGGAGGAAAATTAATAGCCTGGCTCTGAAATAAAGTAACATCCAATGAAAATTTGCACCTGAATCCATTTTTCACAGTAGAAGAAAAAAATATCCCAAAACTCTGAATAAGGCAGTAACTCTGATTTCAGCTCCTGGTGACATTACAAAGGATTTGAACCTTGTGCTGGAGGTTTTATAATGACAACCCAGCCTCTGGCACAGTCTCAGAGCAGTGCCTCACTGCAAATTATATTTGTATCACATTTATCCTTTCTTTTAATATCAATGTACCATCTTTTCCCCTCTGTAACCCAGAGGGAAAGCAAAGCAGCACTGTTTCATTATTAGCCTTTAATAGTCTTTCCAGTGATATAAAGGAGAATATTAATATTCTTCCAATGACCTCACCTAAACACTGCTAAAAGCCAGGAGGGAAGTGACAAGTTTGCAGCTAATGTACAGGGATGAATTTCTGAAGTTAATGGCAGGATTTCACCCCTGGGTTTTAATCCTGTTTTCTTTTTAGCCATTTAACTTCAGTTTCCTCAGCTGTCTGGTGGAGAAAGTAGACTTACATACAAGTCAACAGCATGATTTTATTGAGTACAGTTCAGTCAGGAGGTTGCTGTGCTATCAAAGCACAGAGATGAAGAAGGTGCATTCTGACAAGGAAAGGCAAATACTGTCTTCTTGAAAGTATGAGGTAACCACACTTTCCCTATAGCTCTGCCTGAGGAAGCAGCATTGCTCTGCAGAGCCTGGCGAGGTGGGTGAAGATGGGTTGGAGGGTTGCAGGCAATCCTGCCTGCAAGGTGCACTCTCCTTGCACAATTCTGCCCAAGGATGAGGTGATGGTTTGGTATGCACCAATTCCAGAAGAGGAGCCTCACCAACAACCATTCCAAGGCTGTGCATAGTTCTGCTGTTGTTCCTGGGGAGGATGCTCAGAGCCAACCCAGCAGCTCTGTGGGCAGCTGAGGAGCCCACCAGCCCTGGGTGCAGGTGGGCAGTGCCTTCACTGCCTGGATAGTGGGTGTAGGACTTATCCTTCAGATAATTAGTACCTAAAGTAGTACATAAATGACATGAGCTACATTGTGCCTCAAGATTCCTATTGCTAATGTCTTACTGATGAAAGAGGAGAAAACGGCTGCGAGCATGTTGTGCCAGATATGCTAATTGCTGGTATGAACACTTAAAATTCACAAATCTGATGAACAGTGTAATCAAAGGCAAAGTGTTGCTCTTAAGAAAGCTAAATTAACAGTGAAAAAATCCTTAAAGGTGACCAGCAAAGGAAATGAAATCATAAGTCAGTTCTGCACACAGCTTCTTCCTGATCTGTACAAAAGTCTGGGAAAGATGACGATGATTAATCATCTCACTTGTTCTTCACATTAGAAATGCACATTTTGACCATTATGGAAAAGCTGGGGGATGTGTGACAGTCTGACATCACAAAAGAGAAAGGAGAGAAGTTGATCATTTTGGAGGAAAAGTCCTGATTAGTCAGATTGCAAAACAGGCCTGGGGACTTGTCCATAGTTACTAACACTTTCTTACAGCTGGAGTGAACAATCTGTTTCAAGACACTACAACTCGTCTTCTTTAAGATGTCTGTGCTTATGATCTTAGAGATATAGTGTGGTTCCTTTATCAAAATGAACATCAAATATTATAAGGTGATAAAATAGCACAAAGAGAAAACAGTAAACATCTAATTATCATGTAGGATTAAAAAAAGAATATTTTCTATCTCATAAAAGGCTTCTTCTGATTTAAAGACTTCTCCAGAGGCAGCTGATGCAGGATTAAGACCTATATTTTCTCAAATGCAGTATTTAATTTCAATGGAGCCAGAAAAAAAAAAAAAAAAAAAAAAGAAAAGAAAAAAAATCTAGATTTCAAAATGCCATAGCTGTATTTTTTGTACTCAACTTCCTGTCTTTGATTGGTTTTTAAAAGTACCATAAGAAGGGATCAGAGCTTGGTCTACATCCAGACTATAAAGTTAATGTTTTGTCTTCCAAATCCATTTTTAAAATCTGGTAATAACCCAGATTCATTTCTCAGATTTGTTGCTTCTAGTTCCAGATTTGGAATATGGAAAGAATTGATAAAATCAAGGATATGCTAGTCTTCAAGCATGCTTGCTTTTAATTTAGCACTCAAAGTGAGGAATCTATGTAATTTGCAGAATGATGACTACTTCCAAATCTAACTGAACAGCTAAAAGAGTAGGTTTGAGTTTGATGATATGTAGATTTCCTTTTCACCTGGGAAATAACTATAATATTTTTAAAAATCCATCTATCTAAATCTGTAGAGAAATCTGGACTGTTTGTAAAAATACATTTAGATGGATTTCAAAGAATTTCATATGTTCATTTTTTTGTGTCGATACATATTTCTTTGATGAAACTAAGACTTCTCATTGTGCTGCCAGGATTTGAGAAAAACAGTTCAATCTGCCATGCAAGCCCCTGATCCTGCAAATGTTTAAGCTGGTGAGGAATGTTATTCATTTCCACAGTCTCATTAAGCACTTCATAGCATGTTTACAATGTGTTTTAAACATGACTGTGCCACAGCTTTAGGATTTGTTCGTGTATTGGTGATTCATGACATGAGTCCTTAATGCATTTCCAAAACAGAACTGTCTCATGACCACATGAGAGCCAAAAACTATGCTAAGGACTGGTATCCCTCAAGTGATGGGTAAATGTCATTCTCCCACTGAACCTCTACCACTGTACCTCACATTCTGCAGCTTGCTGATCTGAAAGGCAAAGAGGTTCACTATAGAATCCCCAACTCAAAAAAAAAACCCAAAACAAAAAACCCAAACAAACAAAAACAAACCAAACCAAACCAAACCAAAACCCCAAACAAAACCAAACAAAAACCCACAAAAAAAACCAAACAAAAAAGGGACCATGAAGTTCCTTATTTTTTCCCCATAAATAAAACTGGTGGGAGTATGTGAGTAATTATGATTTAATTAAAAATCTCCTTTGAGTCTGTAGTAAGTGGAACCACAACTCTGTGAGTCTGCAGCACATAAACATCCCACTGAGATGTGGGAGTGCAGCTTGAAAGCTGGCCCCTATTTATTGATCCTTTATTTATCCCAAAGGAAACCAGTAGCAACTCTGTAGAAACCAGTGACCTATGCGTTGGTGTGAAAGAGTAAAGAATCTGGCCAATGGGACCAAGTGGCTTCCTGTCACTTCACCACCATCCTTTGTAGGTGAAAGATGTCTCTGCCTGCCCAAACCAGTCTTGGCTCTCTCAGCTTGGAGCCTGGGGAGAAGCTACTGGTGAAGTGGGGAGTGATGGGACACAGACAAATCCATTGGTGAAGTGAGACAGCAGCTTCCTGACTGCTTTGCAAGGCTGTAAGTACAGGGCTTTTGCATCAAAACTCTTCTGTAAACTGGTACCCAAGCCTGCTGGAAGGCAGAATATTAAATATCCACACATCCACTTATGGCTCTGTAAAGTGCCAGGGAACTGGGTGGTACTATTTATTTCCCACCTGCTTTGCAGAGGTGTAGATCACTGTGAAAAACAGTGAGAGAAACAAGATTAATGTTTTTCCATTTTTTTAATCTTGTCAAACCCTCTTCTGAAATTTCTGCTTAGACATAACTCCTAGTTTGAGAGATGCTGTGAACACTGAGAAGGCCCCATTGCAGCAGTCTCACCCAAGGGCCCGTTGGAAATACTTTCAGCACTCAGCAAGGACTAATGTCCCTCAGGAGCATGAGAGGCAAAACATGAATAGCCAAGGGACTAATGGCCTGATTTAGAGTTCATTAAAGTCAGTGGAAACCTTTCCCTCAATTTTAACAGGCTCTGGATCAGGAATGGAGGAAGGAGGGAGAAGGCAGATGAAAATGACTGCTTTGAAGGGAAGTCTATAATTGTCTTTAAATAATCACAGAACTTGGGGTTAAGTATTGAATACTGAAGATCATGAGAAGTGTTGATTTTTCTTACATTTTTTCTTGGAGAAATTGAACCTGAGACCTCATCATAATTTTACATACTTTTTGTGCATTACTGATTTATATCACACCCTACAGAATTACTATCTTTAGATATCAACAGCAATATTCATTTGCCCAATATTTTGTTCCTATTGGGCAGTGTTGTGCTTCTATTTCTAGAAACATTCCCGATGAAGACCTTGAATTCTGAGGATATTTAAAGAGAGGAAGTCTGAAGGTCAACCATGGATCACAAGGCTGAGGAAAAAAGGAAACAGCACCATAGCCTGACTTTACTAGAACAAGTAAAGAGAATGAAAGAATCAACACAGATAACTGATGTTGTGCTTGTTGCAGAAGGTGAGAAATTCCCCTGCCATAAGGTGGTGCTGGCTGCCTTCAGTCCCTATTTCAAAGCCATGTTCACCTGTGGCTTGGTCGAGTGCACGCAGAGAGAGGTGGTGCTGTATGACATCTCTGCAGAGAGCGTGTCCACGATCCTCCACTACATGTACAGTGCAGATTTGCTCCTCACGAATCACAATGTGCAGACTGTTGCACTGGCTGCATATTTCATGCAGATGGAAGATGTTTGCAACATGTGTCAGAAGTACATGATGGACCACATGGATGCTTCCAACTGCGTGGGCATCTACTACTTTGCAAACCACATTGGGGCAGAAGATTTGTGTGACCAAGCAAGGAAATACTTGTATCAGCATTTTGCTGAGGTGAGCTTGCAGGAAGAAATATTAGAGATTGAATTCCAGCAGCTGATGGCTCTCATAAAGTCAGACGATCTGAATATTTCCAGGGAGGAAAGCATTCTGGACCTCGTCATTAGATGGGTCAAGCACAGCAGAAAGTCACGTTCAGAACACCTTATTGAGCTCCTCAAGCAAGTAAGACTGGTACTCATCAGCCCTTCCTTTCTTGTGGAAGCACGGAAAAGGAACACAATGATTCTGTGCAATTCAGAATGCAATGACATGTTTGAGGAAGCACTGAAAACCATCAAACTGTCCAGCCACCCTTCCCTCAGCCTGCGATACGGCATGGAAACTACTGATCTCTTGCTCTGCATCGGCAACAATTCTCTTGGTATTAGGTCCAGACATGGTAGCTACGCTGATGCCAGTTTTTGTTACGCTCCTGCAACACGAAAGACTTACTTCATTTCCTCTCCCAAGTATGGAGAGGGTTTAGGATGCGTTTGTACTGGTGTTGTCACCGAGAAAAATGATATCATTGTGGCAGGCGAGGCAAGCGCTGTCAAAATGTCTAGACAAAAGACCAGGAACATTGAAATTTATAGGTGTGTACCCTCTGTCAGAAAATCCCTGATTATTTAAAAATTTTAAATCTAAATAATGTTTCTGGGGACAAAAAAAAAAGTCTATTAGACAAAATGTTCTTCAATTGAAATTATTTTTCCCAGAGATTCTGATTACCTTAATCAGTCTGTCACAATTTATTTTCATATTAGTAAATTATATACCTACAACCATATCTTGATGTATTTTCTCATGAAAGAAGGAGGATTTACTCATATGGATTTACTCTTTCTCTCTCTGTTTAAATGAACTTGATTAGATCAATGCATGTGGATTTTATATTCTCCTTACTCAAATCTCAATGTTTTTCAAGGATACTTATTTTCTAAGGGGAAATGAGGCAAGCAAATGACCCAATGAGTCCAGTAAGACAGAGAAAACTTAATTCTCTGTTAAAGTTGATGATAGTATTTCATAGATTAAAGATAATGATTGATATCTCTAAACCCTCATTCTGTTTTTATTCATGTCTTTTTCAGATGCATCCATTTTAAAGAAAACCAGACATTTTCTGGATTAAAGATGAAACTTTAAAATGGTGGCAGCATTTTCAAATACAAATGTCTACATTTAAGGAAATAAATCCATACTGAGTCACCTGAAGTAGCCTTATTTTCAGCAGTGTTGAGCTCTCTGTCTTCCCACTAACTTCAGTGGAAACTGATTGAGCACCACACGCAGAAATAAGGGGCTTCTCACCTTAATAAGGATCAAATATCTTTGAAAGGACACCTAGAATTCCTCACACTAAAAATGCTTAATCTTGCTAACATTGGGCTCAATTTTATAACTTCTCTTCGAAGGAGAAATCTCCTTGTCATTGTACCATTGCCTGAGTAAACACTGATGATTAAGGGGTTAACGCTTCCAAACAAGGGGACAGGACTTCGGTGAACCAGGGCATTTATAACTCTGGATTCTCCTACAGATACCACCAGCGAGGAAACCAGTTTTGGCACAGCCTGTGCACCACTCAGCTCCGTGAGCTCTACGCACTGGGCACTGTCCACAACGACCTCTATGTTATAGGAGGGCAAATGAAAGTGAAAAATCAGTATCTGGTCACAAACTGTGTGGAGAAGTATTCCATGGAGCAAGGCACCTGGAGAGGCACGGCACCTCTTCCAATACCACTGGCATGCCATGTGGTGGTGACAGTGAAGAACAAGCTGTACGTGCTGGGTGGATGGACACCACAGGTTGAGAAATGTGCCTGTTACTGTGTTTGGTTTCTGCATTAACAAGCAGTGTTGTGTAATTTTACAGTGCTTTTTGCATGGGAAAAGTACATCAGTGACAACAGAAGAATAAACTGCTCACATTCCTCTGATCTTTTGCAGGAAAACCAAACAGGGGGAAGAAGAACAATATCCATCTATGCCATCCTTGATGTAAATACCAACTTCAGGAAGGGCAGTTCTTTATTTATAGAGATGTGCACAGTGAGCAAGAGTTTAAAATACATCTCCCATGTCATCATGAGTTCCAGCCTTTCTATTCCTTATTTACTATCTTCTTAATTTTTCCAGAAACCATAAATAATGGTATTTAATTATACAGGCACCCTAAACTGTGCCCTGTCTTCAAATAGCATGTAAACAGGTACACTTCAAGGACAGATTTATATATGACATTTAAAGTTCACCTCAATTTCTCAGGAAGCTTTCTTGGTTAACTAAAGTTAATTTATTAGATTTTAATTATATTACATTTTAAATGAAAAGTCAAAGCATTCTCTGGAAAACAGAGTCCTTTAACCAATCCATTAATTTGTTTCAGTTGTATTGCTTGCCCAGGTAAAGTTTTTACAGGAATTTTCAGCAGGGCCAGAGATACCATGTTCAGTAGTACAGGGAATATACAGAACTATGCTACAAGGAAGGTGGATGTCAGGAGCAGTGCATGCTCTCTCCAGTTGCTCCCAGTGCAAAAGATCTTTTTTAAGAGCATAGTCCATTTTTATTTACTGCTTGGTGCAGTTTAAATTTGAGAGTTCAGGATAAGGTCCCACAGTTACTTGACAATGAAGTGGAGCATCTGTAATCCTCATTGCTGACAGCAATATGTTCAGACTGTCATCACAATTCAATGGATTGTGTCCTCTTGATATAAATTAAAGTCTTTAAAAGAGAGATACATTCAGCTAACAAGACTTACACCTCTTTGGATGTTTTGAATGCAGGAGTCCCCAGGGAGACAACAGAAAGATCAGAGTATTTCTGATACAGAAACAACTGAGCAAGGGTATCTCACTATTTAAAGAACTAAAATATGAAAATACTTCATGTAGAAACAGTCTGTCTGTAAAAAAAACCCCTTGAACTGAAAGATATGTCATATAACAAAGATAGATGTTGAAGTCAGACAACCAGCTTTGTTAAGCTTTTTTCCAGAACAGATTGTGAGAGGGGAAAGTGGCTTAGAAGCATAAGTCAGGAATATTGAGCCAAGAATGGTTTAAAAAAACCCACCTAAATTGGATACCTGCCTACAAGTACTATCAGTAACAATGCATGGGAGTCTGAGTTTATATATAAATAAGTTTGAGATGAGCAAATTAACAGTAATTGATTAAAACCCACAGCTTTGCAAGATTAGGGCGTACCAGAACAAATCAGAATAAATTAGCTCAAGCTCTCAAAAGAGTGCTTTAAGACCAGCACTGCAGAGGGCTGAATTCTTCTGGTACTATATATCTTCCCCCTGTCAGATGCAGCGATTGTGTATGTGGGGATACCACAGCTGCACTGGGAAAGCAAATGAGCTCTCCAAGGCAGGGGTTGTCCCTCTGCTTGAACAGCACTGAATGTTCTGTCGATCCTGAACAAACACTAACGATGCAGCATTGACAGAGTGCCCTGAGTGCACGTGTCCATTACAGGACAGAGATAAATACATGTTCCTTTCCCTTTCAGGCTTTGTAATTGAAACAAGACAAGACAAAGTCAAGCCGGGACATAAAATGACAGCTTAGGAGGGCAAGGACTCGGCTCACATTAGCACTGCTCAGCTCAGCTTTGGTCTGGCCTCACTGGTGCCAGCAGAGTTAGAAACCCAAGCAACTCCAGCCTTGGTAACTTGGGGCTGTTAAAACAGAAGAAAGCATTTGGTGAGGCTGAGAGGAAGGTTCCAGACCCTTGAGAAATAGAGAAGGGCTACTGAAAGTTATGTTTTCTGTACATAAGGAGCACAGGGTTCACTCTGAGGCAAGTGTTACCACAAAAAATGAAGGTGGACATGAATTTACAGCATGTCAAATGGTGCCTGCTCCTAAGTATATGCTTAGTCTGTGTGGAAAACGCACAGTTAACCCCCTTTCAGTGAATAAGTCAGTGTTTCACACTTACCATGGAGAATGAACATGCCTGGGCACTTACAGAGAGTAACCAAGGGGCTATATATTTACTCTGTAGTTTACCTCCTACTGTCTTGTCCATGGCATTAGTGTTGGAAAGGTCTTTTGGGAAAGAAAAATAAGAAGAAAAACAGGAACACATATAACACCATCACAAGCAAGCAAAGTAGTTCTCTCCTTCTCACTCTCTCTATGTGAAAACTTTCAACCCAAAATATTTCTGGATCCTCCCCCCACATCCCACTGCTTACATTCAAGGGTGTTGTACCCAAAAAAAATAATCTGAGTTCCCTGCATCATGTGAGACAGGCAGAGAAGGGGGAAGAAGATTAGAGAGAACAAGAGGAGTAGGAGTGAGTATAAAAGGAGTATTATGGCAGCAAAGATATTGCAGGGGGCTAGGAGCTTATTATGCAAACCATTGAAGTTACAGCAGTTGAACAACATTACTGTGGTTAGACTGACTAAATAAACATGCAAATGTTTATTAGAATAAGTTATGCGTATATATAGGCCTGAGAAAGGCCAGGAAAGTACCTCACTGAGACTCATGGTATGGTCTGCGTAACAGTGGGAATAGATTTCAACATTTAGCAGGAAAAAAAAGACAGATCTATTGGTTTTCCCTCATTATTAAGACTGTACAGCAGCCTTGTGAAAGGGGTACGTTCTTCCAGAGCTGGGACCATGAATGTATTGTTATTACCCAAATGCTCACCTTTATTGCTGTAGAATATAGATGCCCACTCATTCCTTTGCCTTCTACAGTGGACTCCCAGCCACAAACCACGGGTGCTGTGTAAACCCTGGGGACTACAATCCCCTGCGGCTGTAATTGATGTGTTTGCGCTATTTATCTGCCGAGCTGTCTGCTGTGATTAATTGCATGCAGGCATGTGCAGAGGGCTCCAAATGTTGTATTATTATATGGCTGTCATATTTCATACAGATGGATCTGCCTGACGATGAGCCGGATCGATTAAGTAACAGAACATTTCGGTACGACCCGGGCCAAGACAAATGGACGGAAGGAGCTCCAATGAAGTACTCAAAGTACCGCTTCAGCACAGCCGTAGTCAACGGGGAGATTTATGTCTTGGGTAAGAGGAAACAGATTTTTTTAACAGATAGCACCATGACTTTTTCTTCTTTCCAGCAGTTTGCCTCTGTGAAGTGAAATATCTCACCCTTTGTTAAGTACCGTAGGACAAAGTACACTGGACTAAACGGGTGGTATTTTTCTAAAGTTGTCTCTTCCCCTCATTATTTCTTCCTTTCTTGATTTATGTAGATTAAATTAGGTGAATATTTAGTGTTCTGGATTAATGAAACAAAGGTACTTCACTTTTTAAGCTACTTTTCTTTAGGGTATCAGTGTGTGCTATAAATAGTAATGAATTTTAAAAAGTGAGTAGAGAAGCCTTGTAAGGACCATTTCACAAGTGAGCACTGAACAGCTGAGGAACATAACCAGCATTGTGAAAGAATGGCATAGGGTTAAAGAAAATTTGGATCTCCCAGTCAAAACCAACATTATTTCTCTATATTGATAAAACTCAATGAATCTTTCTTTTCCACCCACCTCAAAGCAGTGCATTCTTTTGAACACTTAAGTCTCTCATTTTGTCATTGTTTGATTGAATCTTTTCAATTTTTTTTTGTTTAAAAACCAGTATTTTGACAAAAAGTATTGATTTGTGTGAAAAAGTTCAATAATCTCCTACCCCAAAATCTTTTGTCTCAAATGATCCCCACCCATATTTTTCAGTTCTGCAGTAAATCCATAAAAGGACTCTTTTCCCAAAGACCATTCTTCATGGTCCCATCCCAGCCTATGTACAAGCTAACAGAGAGAACATCACCTGTTTCTGAACACTGGCAAACAGCTCAGGAGGTGGCAAACAAGGGATTTTTCTGAAGAGAAGATGAAGATGTAAGGCAGGGAAAGGCAGATGTAGAAGAAAGGCATTACAGATATTGGGAAAAAGTTAAAAGGGGCATCTTAGAAGGGGAATAGGAGTCAGAGAAGTGTCCAAGTAACAGAGAGAAGGATTATAGATAGATGTGTGACTGGAAAGTTCTTGGAGAAGTGGGGGAAAAGCTCATACAATCAAGTAATCCACAAGTGGGCTGTGAGTGATTCACACCCTTCCATGCTCCTGTGGTCTCATGGGCATCGCACATGAAGAAGGCAGCAATCACATCAGAACCTTGGGACATTTCAATCTTTTCTGCTTCAGACTACTCCTGCTTACAAGCTTATCAAAGTGAACACAAAAATACAGTCATATCAACATAATACACCTCCTGCATTGGGGTGTTCTGTTTTTGTCTGGGTTGTTATATAATGTGGATAAAGCAGAGCTTTCTCCCTGCCTGTAATACAGAAAGTGTTTTGCAGGGGGTGTATGTAAGAGAGGTGTCTTTGAAGTAGAAGAAGAAAGTGGCTTTAATGCTGCATTTGTCTTCTTTTAGAGAGACTTCTTTCTCTTAAGAGGCTTGAGAGAGGCCCATAGTCACAACCAGGAGGAAGGGTGAAAGGAGCCAATATGGAAAAGAGAGTTTTGCAACCAGAAAATCATATCATTATTGTCAAAGGTTAGTGATAGAGAATGTCAGTGTGCTGTTAAATAATAAGACTGTTGGCTACCCAGGTTCAAAGGTGCTTCCAAAATATGGAAACTCCATCCTTTGTAAAAGGTTAAATATATATAATTATTTATACTGACATTGATGCTCTAATGGGGCAGAAGAAGCAGCTGGAATAGCTGGGAAGAGAAAGGCTGCATTTATGCATTTCAGTAAGACAGTGCTCCAAGATCAAGACCTTAAACACTGTGATGACACAAGAGAGTCAGGGAGCAAAAAAAAGGAGCCGCCTTGGGATGCATGTGATAAAACAAATTGACAGTCTTCTTCACAGCAAGCCTGACACTGAGACAAGGGAAAGGAGTGGCTAATAGGGAAAACTGCATCCATTTTCTTCCCTCAGAATCTCACACAGTATATCTGAAGCATATCTGAACAATTACAGTAATGAAATGTACAGAGTGAACACAAAGCACGGCATTAAATCTGCAAAGTGCCTGTTTAAATGGCATTGAGGCAAGTTGATGGTCTCACAGACCTGTAGAAGCATTTTGCTAATGTTAAAAAATTAAAAAGCCTTGTTTTGGTATGTATAGCTGCCAGTGTTGCCGTATTCAGGGAGCTGAATGCTGACTTGAAATCTTTCTTACATGCTAACCAATACCAAAAATTTGTGTATGTGTGTGAGAAAATCTTTGCTAACAATCAAATCTGCACATGGGCTGTAACAGGCTCTTGGTCTGTCTCCATCACTTTGTTGGTTCACATGCCTTCCCATGGCCCTCCTTATTCGAGCCTATTCCTAAGGGAACCAACTTAATGCTGAGATTAACAGTTTGCTGCACTGGACCTTTCACTCTTGCCACTAAATCTAACTAAGCATTCATAAAGGTAGGGTTTGTTCTCAGTTTTGACAGTGTAAATCTGGGGTAATTTCACTGTAATGGACAAACTTGCTTGTGATTTATACCAGGGGTAACTAAGCTCACACGCTGCTCCAGGGAGCAGATTTTTGAGAAAGATTGGGCTACTTTTACCATTACATTTCTGAGCCTGCCTCCCTTCTTATGCTCTATCCACTCAAGGTGTAACTGCAGCATGTGCAGACACGAATGAGTTACCATCAGGTAGCAGGAATATCAATTGCAGAGAAGACATTTTGACCTAGGTCTGGGCTGCTTTCCCAAACTCCTGATTGCCTGTTTTCACAAACCTTGTGAGGACTTTAACATCCATCAATCTGCAAAATTTAGCTGAAACTGGGCAACAGGCACAAAAGCTATGAAAGGCCAAGAACATAATGTAAGTGCAGATAGAGAACACACATGTAGTAAGGGTAATTACGTGTCTTGTTTTCTTAGGAAATCAAATAATATTACAACTACTTTTCTAATTGAAAGATAAGCCTGACACTGAGCCAAAACTGATTTGTCAACAAATTCTGTCTTTGAATATTCTGGTTTAAATCCATTTGTAAGAGTATGGGTGGAAATGGAGATTTAGCTGTTAAAAGTAAGAAGACAATGTAGTTGGTAAATGTTAACAAATGTGGTCTTAAAACTGTGTGGAAGACATTAAAACCTTTTCCAAGGCCTCTCAGAATGATGGAACAATTTCCAAACAAACTCTGTTTGGAAACAGTGGTACAGTCATGACATTGGCATCTTACTCTGCTGATATCACACATGGCCTCATATCCAGTTGTGAACTCACACTCGCCAACTGTAATTAGAACCTCACACAGAAAAGCAACATTCCACGGTTTATCCATGGTGACAAGTTCTTGTTACCTTGTGAGTTCTCAGGCTGCTGGGCTGTCAGGTGGGTTCAGTTTTCCTTTGGAAAGAATTGCGATGGTAACCCCGACCGGGTGAACGGGCGATTCATGGCATTGAAAGGAAGGAGGTAAAAATGTTCTTAATCTGGCTGATGTGGTACTTGATCATGCAGATGACATTCAGGAGAGAATGGGAATGGAAAGAACAGAGGTTGATAGTGACAGAGCAAAGAATAGCAACTGTCATGAAGGCATTAAAAAGATGCAGGCTCCTCAAAGCTGTGGATCCCTCGGACATCACCCTGCTTCATAAAGGGTGTCGGGCACTCTGGGAGTCTAGAAAGATGCTGTCAAGGGTGATTTGTGCAAAAAGACACATTCTGAAGAGGAGAGGTTGTTCTCATGTAGTGGCCTCAGAGATGTCTTTACTCAGGCATAATGACTAAGCTTTTGTGCTATAGATGAGAGGGAGACTTTTGTGGAGTCTCGACCACTGCTATTGATCCCCCTCCTCACTCCAAAAGGGGATTCCCCATGGTGAAATCTGTGTGCACAGAACCTGAACATCTAACATCCCCAGTGAGGGGACACTCAGTGAAGGGACCATTTAAAAGCATGGGAAGGCATTCCCACAAGCATCCCCCACTTCTCATATCATACTTGTTCCTCATGGGGTGCACTGTCTCCATGGGCATCCTGCAGTCTGCACCCAGCTAAGAAGATCCACTGGGGGCTGCCAGGGACAGAGGAAGAAAAGGGAGAGGGGCAAAAAGGAAACAGGTAAATGCAAGATATCTTCAGTATGCCTTCAGGACCAAGCCTTGCTTCCAGAAGTAAAAACATGAAATAAAGAAACAGATAGCTCTAACTGGGTACATAAAGTAGTGTTGCAGAGAGATGAGGTTTCTTTCCAGTAAGCCTTGAAAACAAAGTCATTAAATGATGTAAGTTTGTCAGCTCTTTCCAACAGGATTTCTGTCTTTCTGTATAACTTATACAGGTGTCAGGACATTGAGGACTCTAGAGCAGAAATGAAAAATCACTGCAGAGAAAGTTGATTCTCTCTAGTATCTCTGATATATGAAAGTAATTTCTATCATAAATATGAAGCAGAAAGAAGATGCAAAATATTAGCTTTGAATAAGGTGCAGTAGCAGTTTCTTTGACAGACAAGTCCAATTTTTGCTTTCATGCATGCAGGTGTAAATCTGTAGTAAGTAGTCTGCTGATGTCAACTGTGTTGTGTCAGGCTCGTTTTATTCTAACCCAGATCAGAATCTGATGCTTAGCCTTTGAAGTGCTAATTTCTGAAAAGTCCTATTGGCACAGAACAGAGAGTATGTAGTCACTGTCCAAAACCTCTTCCCAGCCTAATTGCAGCTCCAGCATGTAAAACCCCAATGACTTAAATGGAATTATTCCAGAGTCACACTGAGGGAAGGAAAATGAGAGATAGATTAGAGTTTTTGGTCTGAGTAATAGCATTGTTCAGGAACCTGTACAGTGTGTCTTAATCATCAGTCCTGCAATGTAATTGTCTGTTTGTTGTGTAATGCTCCTAGAGAATCTCATGCAATTTATACACCATACATAATCCTCATAAGTAAATGAACAGCATTTCCTAAGGCTCAAAATCCTTTCTCCTATTCATCTCATTTGACTGGTCTCAGCTCTTTCTCTCCATATTTTCCCAGGAACATAACTATATTCGTTGGAGAGCCCAAGAAAGAGCAG